TCTAAGGCAAGAAAATACACTAGAACAAAGTTAAAGAAACCCAAACAACTCGTATCTAACAAGGCCTGAAATAACCAGAGGATTTAATTGACCACAATGCCATGCCCTTGCAACTGTTCAAGTTAATAGTTGCCATAGAAAAGTCCAGTATAACTCAGAGTCAGTTTAACTTCTTGTACACAAATAACTTTATAGGAGACAACATTGTCAATTCAAATCAATAAATGATTCAGTTTGGCCATAAAAGCATAAATAGAAACTGAAAGTGTTACACACTGTCCTTTCTTGCTATAAATGATTAGATTTTGGGCCAGAAAACATACAGCCCAAGCTAACAGCCATTTTCCTTCCTTAATGCTCAGTATAGACTATTACCCATGAACTAAGGATCAGTCAGCAAAATCATTTGAAAACAATAAAGTTTCTGGGACTCCTAAACCACCATCTGTTTCGTTGTTGAGAGGCAAATTTGACCCCAGACAATATATCTTCTTGTTATAAAAATGGCAACAGGGTTCAAAGGTTCTTTCTTGGTTTCAATTTCCGCCTTCAGAATTTCCCAGCCTTTCCTTTAATTCCCACTCATCTTAGGGGCACATCTTCCCCAGACCAGGAATGAAAGCCAAAAGACCTTAATCCAAAACTAAGTGGAAATTATGAGCCAGAAAAATAAGATAGAGCAGAAAGCTCACAAAAGCAAGGTCCATAGGCAGCAAGCAGAGTGCAGAGAAGGGGCTGGAGGGGTGCTAAGCTGTTAGGAGCATTTACTGCTCTTGCAGAGGACTCATGACAGGGGACTCACAACGGCCTGTAACTCCAGCTCTGGGAATCTGACACCCTCTGGCTTCCTTGGGTACCTGCTTGCATGCACATGGTACACATAAACTCACATAGGAGCACACACATACAAAGAAGTAAAAATAATACATAAAGCTTTTCCTAAGCGCAGACTCTTTCTCCAACTGAACTCAATTTCAGTCTTCCAACCTAACTGTATCAGCTGTTATACAAGGTAGGCACCATGAGGGGCAAACTCCCACGTTGCTGCATTTTAACCTGTCCTTTCATCTAAATCGTTATGATGCAAGTTGAACGTGCCCAGAGGCCTTCCTATCTACCACATTAATTTTTTAAACATATGCTCCATTAGCTAACTGCCAGCTCCTTGAGCTAGTATTTCCAAAAATGTGTCTATTCTACTCTATTTCCTTCTTAAGTTAGGACTTTAAACTGACCATGCTCTGGAATATACTCCCTAACTGAGCATGCTCAGGAGTGTGGCCACACCTAAAGTGCTTTCTTTTATGCATATGGATAGGCCCCCCACACTCCCTTTCTTCCAGAAAATAATAGCTTTGGCACTAACTCAGACACTCTCATTACCTGCAGCAGGTGTTAAGTCTTCACTCTTTCATGACTTTTCCTTATCTTTTAGACTCACCCACCACGACGTGGACCGTTGCATTAAGAGACAGTTGCACTGATAGACACTTGGTCTTGTTCAGCTCCACTTGTAGCCCAACTCTCCCTGTCTCTAGGATATCCCGAAAGGTTCCAAGGATGAGCACAACATTAAGGAGGAGGAGATAGGAGTCATGACCTTAGTTCTCCAGCATCTGTCCACTCTAGCCTCCTCAGCATGCTTTTTCCCACGGACCTCAGTTGTCACTTCATGCAGATCCTGCCCAGACCCTGGATCTTCATCGTCCTGACCACCATAACTTCTGTCAGGTTCTTACAGACTATTCTGCTGTTCCTCACTCTGAATTGAGGCTCAGTGGGGGACAAGGCAGGGCTGTCACAGGACTATTAGCTGAGGTACCTCACGGAACCATTTCTGATCTATAATCCATGACCGTGGCCCAGACCTGCCTTCAGGTTGTCCTTCCAGCTTGTACCTGTCTCACTCTAAGAACACAGGTCAGAAGAAAGAGGCAGCAACTGGGACTCCCTCCAAGGACCTCACAAGTGCCATGATGAGTGGCCTGACCAGCTCACCCTAGACCAAGGAAGTTTGATTGCTTCTATGGAGAAATCAATCAGACTTAACAAATATGTTTCAAGATATATTTCTTAAATCTCAACCTCAACATTGAAACCTAGAAGAAAAAAGTACTGACTTGTGTTCCTCTCAATATTCCCGCCCTACTAACTCTACCTAAAAATGCTCTTATGTCTGAAAACTTCTGAAACTGAAACTCTGTAAGCACATGACAGCAGTGTGGGATCTAAGTAGAGAGGAGAAGAAGTGGAGTATGCTCACCATTACGGCCAGCGCAGACAGACATCACCCCTCTAGAGACCTGGTGTTAGGTGATGTGTTAGTTACTTTTCTCTTTGCTGTTACAAAATACCTGACAAAAGCAGCTTAAAGAAGAAAGTGTTTGCTTTGCCTTACACTCTGAGTGCACAGTCAGTCCACCTGGGTGGAGAAGGTGGGCTGACAAAAGTGGCTCTAGTTGTAACAGCAGGATCATGAAGCGGCTGGTCTTACTACAACCACAGTCAGACAGCAGGGAGAGAAGAATGCTCGTGCTCAGCTTGCTTTCTCCTTTTACTCTTTTAACCATTTCGGAATCCTCAGCCTATAGGATGGTGCTGCCCTATTTGGGGTGGGTCTTCACTCCTCAGTTACACTTCTCTGGAAATTCAAACAGGCTTAGATATGTGTCTCCTAGGTGATTTTTTTTTTTAATTCTATGTGTATGAGTGGTTTGCCTGCATGTATGTAAGTTCACCCCACGCCTGCCATGCCCACAGAGACTAGAAAAGGGTCTCCTGGAACTGGAGTTACAGACAGTGGTCAGTTTCCATGTGGGTGCTGAGAACCAAACCTGGATCTTCTGCAAGAGCAGACAGTGCTCTTAAGTGATTGAGCCATCTCTCCAGTTCCTCCTAGGTGATTCTAAATCCAGTCAAATTGACAATGAAGATTAACCATCACAGGTAAAGGTCTAGATTCTGGAACAAAAGATAGACACAGTCAAGACTCAGAGGGTCAAGTTTGAGGGCAATTCTTCCTACTACATTTATTTAGATCAATTGATACAATTTGAGTATCCTTCATCTGAAATGCATGGGACCACAGTGTTTGGAACTTGGGATTTTTTATTTGAGAACATTTAGATACATGTGAGATATCTTGGGGATGGGACCCAAGTCTACACATGAAAGTCATTCACATTTCATATGTCTTGGGCATTTATCATAAGGTAATTTGGGACAAAACTCTTAGCACACCTGCATTTTAACCATGACCTGTCACATGAGGTCAGATGTGCAATTTTCTTCCACTTTGGACCTCTCATCAGTGCTCAAAAGGTTTCCCATTTTGGAATTACAGGTTTCAGATTTTTGGATTATGGATGCTCATCCCACTCTACAGTTCTGATCATTGCAACCACCAACAGTGCTTAGTCATCCAAGAAATCAAAGTAAAAAGAAGTGGAATTAGTCAACTCCCTGTCAAAGAACATTATGCCTCTCATACATTACATTTGCAAATTAAAGTGTGTCACAAACTGAAATATTTTACCTCATAAAGGAACACACACAATTTATGAAACTGTGTCAGGACCCATGAAATCAAGGAACACCAGAACAGAAATACAAATCTAACTCAGATTCCTCGTCCAATATGAAACAAGAAGCCATGGGGTTTTCCTTGCAGAGCCCAAAAACAAAAAGGAGAAGAGACAGAAGAAGAAAAAAGCTTCCATAGGCCAGCCTCCCTGGGCAGGCAGAGAAGGAAGTGAGGGAGGAGTGGCTTATTTACCAGATGAGAGTCTACCATTATAGACAAAACTAAAACACAAACCAAGCAAAGCCCTAAATATTAAAAATACAGATGAACTCATTTAAGGACTGCTGAAGTGAGCACAGCAATTCGTTTATGTGGTAAAGTCTCACAATTGAAAAAGGGATGTGCAGGATGACATAAAATCTCACATTTTTTAACTACCTACTATAGGGTGTAAGAGTACATGGTTATGCCATGGTTAGGGTGGTGCACCTCAGCACTTGGGAGGCAAAGGCAGGTGGATCACTGTGAGTTGGGGGCCAGCCTGGTCTGGTCTACATAGGTGTTCCAGGCCAGCTGGGGCTACAGGCAAACCCTGTCTCAAAAAGACAAAAAAAAAAAAAAAAAAAAAAAAAACCCCAGCACTCAGGAGTGGGAGGCAGGCAGGCGGATCTCTGTGAGTTCAAGGACAGCCTGGTCTATAGCAAGTTCCAGGACAGCTGGGGCTACAGGAAGACCCTGTCTCAAAAAAAGACCAAAAAAAAAAAAAAAAGAGTCCATGATTATGAAGGTTTAGCATTATTGTTTCTCTGTTCCACCATTTGATTATGTTTGTTCCTCCAGCTATGCTCTAAGCCACATGAGAGCAGGAAAGCCACTGTATTGCCATTCTTAGCCAGGTCTCTGATGGACATTGGGCTCCTCATGGTATTTGAAGAGACAATAAATGAGGTCAATTTTACACAATGTTTGAGACATGGGCAGGGGATTAACACTGGGGAGGGAAAAGGAAACACGGTTTAAATAAACCAATCTGAAGTCACGAGCTGGAAGTGAGCCTTCATCATAAAGCAAGACTTTAAAGGGGTCTTGCTTGTGGCATGAGAACTAGAACTCTCACTATCAGTTCAAGAAAGGATCAAGGAACCTACCATGAGCCCTGGATTCTAGGTGAAGTCTCCTAACACACCAGAGGCACCACCACTTGAAATGAAGATAGACCTGGAGAACACAGGACTCACATTTGCTACCCCTTTAAAGTTGAAATAGCATGAGAGGAAGAAGCCTGGAAAGGCATAAAAGGATGCTAGCAAGCTCTGAGAACACACTTCAGCTCTGTCACTATTTTCTGAGCTGATCCTGTGTAAAACATTAGCATAGCCCTGCAGGGTCTGGGTACAAACAAAAGATAGTGTGTTTACAGTATCATCTCTTTTACGTGCTTTCAGCTTTGCTGACATTGAGATATTTTGTTTTTCAGAACGCAGAGGCAAGTTATGACTTCAGCAGTAACGACCCCTATCCATACCCTCGATACACAGATGACTGGTTTAACAGGTAAACCAAGCCTTGTGAGCATCTTCAATATTAAGCTTTGGGGTCTTATTTTGCTTTGTTTTGTTTACAGATTGAATACCACCAGCAGAATCATCCCAGTGTTTCACAATGTTATGTTATGATTTTTCTTCACAGTGGCTATACTTCTAAATTCCTGGAATTTTAGAATTTCAGTGCTTCTCAATAAGTATCATTTGACTGTTTTGTTCTGTTAAACTCGAAATTATTTGCCAGATTTATCTATTAAAGATAAAACAGAAATAAGAAAATTTTTATCAATGTAAAAAGATTTTACTCAAGCCGGGCATGGTGGTGCATGCCTTTAATTCCAGCACTTGGGAGGCAGAGGCAGGAAGATCTCTATGAGATCAAAGTCAGCTTGATCTACACAGTGAGTTCCAGGCCAGCTGTGGCTACAGCTTTCACTTGATCTGGTAAAGCTGTTGTTCTAGAGGAACTTTTACCCCATGGGTCTGTCCTTATATGTTTTTGAAAGGTATCTCTGCTATAACCTCATAACAGTTCACGTAGTCCCTTTCAACAAGAGGCCAGAAGAAGGCACTGGATCCCCCGGAACTGGAGTTATAGACAATTATTAGCCACCACATGGGTGCTGGGAATGGAACCAGGTCCTCCAGAAGAGCAGCCAGTGCTCTTAACTGTTGAGCCATCTCTCCAGCCCCAATAATGCTATAATTCTGAGACCTAGTGCATGGGGAAAGGTTGATCAGAGGGAACCGAGTTACAGTTAGAGAAGAGTAAGAAGGTCTGGCATGTTGTTGCACAGTCAGTGACTACAGATAACAATAACATCTGTGCATTTTGAAATGCCAGAAGAAAGGACTTGGAGTATTTTCAGCACAGAGAGATGGTTAAATGTTTAAAGAGACGAGACAATGTTTAACTCAATTTCAACATCATACAATTTACTGGAACATATATGTGGTAGCATTAGTATCTACATTGTTATGTATCAATTAAAAATAAACTTAATTTGCTGGGGGTAGTAGCACGCACCTTTAGTCCCAGCCCTCAGGAGGCAGAGGCAGGCAGATCTCTGTGAGACTGAGGCCAGCCTGATCCACCATAGTGACTTCAGGGCAGTCTGGGACTAGGGAGACTCTGTCAAATATATAATAAGTAAATAAATACATAATAAACTTAATTTAAATTTAAAAGTAAATACATATATAAACCTACTGCTTCACTACAATCCATGTCCTTGCATGAAGCTCACGTAAACTTCAATTAAAACATAAAAGTAGATTACATGCAGAGCACTTTCTCCATTGAGTTTCCTTCATGGGAACCTAAGTAGTATATAAAGCAGAAGTTGCCATTTTCAGTTCAGTGACAGGAAAAGAGGTTCAGGAACGCTGAATGGCTTCCCTGACCAAACAGAATTTAGTCAAAGCCAATGTTTTAAAGTGTTTTTAAATCTAAATTCATACCAAGGCTGGCCTCCCTCAAAAGTGTAGCCATCCTTTTACCTCAGCCTCCTGAGTGCTGGGATTCCAGGCATGCAGCACCATGCCCAGCTTAAACTTGTATCATTTGCATAAGTATCATTTTTGCTATTTATGCAAGAAGTGTGATATCCAGAAGTAGCCAGGGCAGATGCTTACATGGGTACGGAGATTTGGCAATTTCATAGAATACAGAAAGAATAAAGAAGAGAGTGGAATTCAAATTTGTGATATTTTTAAGGGGTTATGACTGATGTGCAACAGCACAGTTCATTCTCCACCAATTTTATTTGTAGCCTGAAAACTGCCATGCAGTGCTTGGAAGGGTGTGTTTGTGGGGTGAAAATGTCTTTAAAAGGTCTGAGAACTTTGGGCCTGAGGTGTTACTTGTCCCCATGACTTATAGCTCCATGTCTTGTCATCTCCTTACCAAATAAACCACTTCCAGATCTCAGAATACGATGGTGCCAAACAAGTGTCACTAAGCAAGGGCCTAGAAATAACTGGCAGTGAGTCTGGAAAGCTGTGTTGAGACAGCCTGGCTTCAACATTGATGACCAGCGTTCCCATGAGTATCAGAAAGGGCAGTAATGATACATGCACTCTCTCTGTAGTTACCAGGTACTAGGTTAGTTTTTGGTGAATTAGCCTGTGCATAAAATAAAACTGATAGATTAGTTTTTCCTGACTCTCACAGTTTGAATCCAACTACAATTTCCTCCAACTAAATCTTCTTGTGTGATGAGCTATAAGAATATTCTTTCAAGGACTAGAAAGATGGTTCAGCAGGTAAGAGCACTGACTGCTCTTGCAGAGAATCCAGGTCCAATTCCCAGTACCCATATGGTGGCTAGCAACCATCCATAACTCCAGTTCCAGGAGATCCAACACCCTCTTCTGTCCTCCTCAGGCATTGCATGACATGGGTGCACTTACACATATGCAAGCAATATACTCATACACACGTAAAATAAAAATAACAAGACTATTCCTTCAAAAACTCAAGACAATGCCTCATCTCTTACATATTTTTATTTTTGCAAGCTTGTTCTCGAAAGTCCCATTTTAAACTGGCTAATAATCTTTAATTAGAATTAATTCACGTTTAATGTAATAAAAATTCATCATTGACAGCACTTAGAATTCCCAGGTGACAGTTTCTCTAAGACACAGTACTAGTGAGTCAGGCAAGAGTGCTGCCTGTGTGCTAGGGAGCCAAGTCAAGACAGTGTTCATGCTGACCAATAAATAAGTCTTCCCCAATTATCAAGTCATTCTTGAAGACTTTCATCCACCATATTGTAAAGATTGGGTGATGGCAAGCTAACCACGTGGCCTCTCAAAACATAACTGGATTGTTAACTGGTTGTGGGAAGGAGATGGGACAAAACTCAAGCCTACCACATTGGGGAAATCCTTAACCCAAAACGTTGGCACCTGTTGGCATGAAGAGAATTGAAGTGAGGTACCTTTCCTCCCCATATAGGATTTGTTTACTAAAAATGTAAACAAATGGTATGTTCTTCCATGCTACTTATAAACTGAGGCAGAAGGTTGGAGAATGGGTTGGGGTGTTGAAAAAATGAAGTTCATCATGAGTTAACTGTTGTTAAGCCTAGAAACAGGGAACATAGAGTTTGTTCTATTTTTATGTGCCTTTGATATTTCCTTTGTCAGACTTTTACCATTATATTGAATACCTGAGAGAAACAATTTAAAAGTACAAAAGATTTATTTTGGTTTACAGACTCAGAGATTTCAGTCTTTGGTCATTTGGCTCCATGCTTTGGGTATGAGGTGCGGCAGAATATCACAGTGGCAGGAATGTAGTTGAGAAGAGCAGCTCACATCATGACTAACAGGAAGCAGAGAGACAGGAAAGGGCAAGACCTAGCCCCTAAGAATAAGTCTTACCTCCTCCAGCTAGACCCCACCTCCTAGTTCCCAACTCCTGCCCACATAGTGATGCCAGCTGGGGACCAAGATTTCAACACGTGTTCTGGGGGAAGGGGCATTTCCTAGTCCAGCCATAATGTTATAATAAGAAATAAATTTTGCTGGGCATGGTGGCACACACCTTTAATCCCAGCATTCAGGAGGCAGAGGCAGGCGGATCTCTGTGAGTTCAAGGCCAGCCTGGTCTACATAGTGAGTTCCAGGCCAGCTGGGGCTACAGGGAAACCCTGTCTCAAAAAGACCAAGAAGAAGAAGAAGAGGAGGGGGAAGAGGAAGAAGAAGAGGAGGAGGAGAGGAAATAAACTTAAAATGATGTAGTCATAAAAGAAGCAATGAACAGACCTGGGTACTCATGGAATCACTAGTTTGGGCATGTGTGCTTACCATGTTATATGATTAAATCACCACAACACTGACTAAAGCCAAAGCTAGCATGACACAACACGGAGAGCTAACAGACACTGAGCAGTTACTATCTCTAAGGCACTTTCTTTGCTTTTATTTATTTATTCAAATTTTGTTTTTAACAGAATGGTATCAACAGTACCACAGCCTGAAAAGTCAGTTTCATTTCTTTTGAGGGAATTGAACCATGGGCCTTGGCCATTCTATGCAAGTGCTCTACCACTGAGCTGCACCTCTTACTCCAGAAAGCCCAGTTCATATTGCTAGTCTTGATTCACGGACCATATAGTTTAAATAAAAGCTGTCCAAGAATATTCCCAAACACTGCCTCTTCCCCTCTCTTTGGCTTTAAAGTAAAGCCTGGGCCTATGATGTTTTAGTAAGAATCAATCATTCAGCACATGTGGCTTTGGTTCCTCTGGGACAGATACTACTCAACAGCATCGAGGGCTAGTGGTTAACAGAGGTCTGCAGATGGGGTGGGATAGCCCTGGGTTGGCCTGAGCCAGGCCCTGACTGCAACACACCATGGATTATGGAGACATAGGCAAGACTTAGGTCTTGGGTCCACCCTATGTAGCTCCTTCTGGCCCATGGTACAGCTCTGCATAGCCACCTCTAAGGCACTTTCTTAGTATTTTGTATGTGTTCATTTAATTCTCATAATAACCCTCTGAACTGGTGTTACCAAAATGTCCCTATTTGGAAAACAAAAGCACAGAGCTTAGGTAACTTGTGCAAGGTCACACAGTTAATAAGTGGTGGAGGTGGGTATTGATGCCAATGAGGAATCTAGGACTTTGTATTAGTTACGTTTCTGTTACTGTGATAAAACACCATGACCAAGGCAACTTATAGAAGGAAGAGTTTATTTGAGCTTATGGTTCCAGAAGGTTAGGATCCATAAAGGCAAGGGACATGTGGTGACAGAGATGACAAGAGCAAAGGGGCAATGGATCAAATCTTCAAGCAGGTGGAGGAAGCAGAGAGAGACTGGAGATCTGACAAGGCTTAAGAACTCCCAAAGCCTGCCCCCAGTGACGTGCTTCCTCCAGCAAGGCTGCACCTCCTAAAATCTCCCAAAACAGTGCCACCAACTGGGGGAAAATGTTTAAATACTTGGAGTCTATGGGGAATATTCTCATTCACACCACCACAGACAAGAATAAAGGC